TACCTTTGGGGCATGTGAGAGAGGCTTCTGGATCAGTGGGAACCAGCCCCATAAAGAACACAGTGCTGAGAAACCCTTGATGTGCATGGAGGGTGAGAAGGATATCCTGGAAGTCCGTGACCTCTTCCAGCACCAGGCCACCTCCAGTGGGATTAAGCTACAGAGGAGCACTGAGCACAGGGCAGCCTTCCCATCCAGCTCCAATCTCAGGCAGCAGCAGGGAGACTTTGATGTACAGAAGCCCTTCAAGTGCAGCAAATGTGGGAAAACCTTCCTGAAAGCCTTTGCACTCCTCGACCACCTGCTAAATCAGGCAGAAGAGAGACACTTAAGGTGCCCCACAGGTGGAAATGCCCCCAGGGAGAATTCAACACATGTTAATCATGAACAATTTCACATTGGAGAAACATCCCATGTGTGTACGGGATGTGGGAAGGCCTTTAGCCATCAGTTTCAACTGAGGACACATCAGAAAGTTCACACTGGAAAAACACATCACAATTGCAGGGACTGTGGGAAAGTCTTCACCCGCAAACACTCACTCATTCAGCACCAGAGAGTTCACACTGGAGAAAGGCCTTATGAGTGTCACCAGTGTGGGAAGGCCTTCACTCGTAGCTTCCATGTTAGTCGGCACCAAAAAGTTCACAACACAGAAAGGCCTTTTGAGTGTAGACAGTGCCGGAGAGTCTTTAGTTGTATCTCTAACTTTGTTGAGCACCAGAAAATACACACAGGAGAAAGGCCTTATGAGTGCAACGAATGTGGAAAAGCCTTCATTAACAACTCCCATCTTGCTCGGCACCAAAAAGTTCATAACACAGAAAGGCCTTTTGAGTGTAGCCAATGTGGGAAAGCCTTCCGGCAAACCTCCAAACTTGTTCTTCATCAAAGGAGTCATACTGGAGAAAGACCTTATAAGTGCAACCAATGTGGGAAAGCCTTCAGTTGCCTCTCCAACCTCGTTCCACACCAGCGAATCCATACTGGAGAAAAGCCTTATGAATGCTCAGAATGTGGCAAAGCCTTCAGTCAAAGCTCTGCGCTCATTCAGCACCAGAAGGTTCACACTAGAGAAAGACCTTATGAATGCAGTGAATGTGGGAAAGCCTTCAGCTATAGCTCTAACCTTGTTAAGCACCGGAAAGTTCACACTGGAAAAAGGCCTTATGAATGCAGCCAGTGTGGGAAAGCGTTCAGTGAAAGCTCCATCCTCATTCAGCACCAGAGAGTTCATACTGGGGAAAAACCTTATGAGTGCAACAAATGTGGAAAAGTTTTTCGCTACAGTTCTAACCTTTCTAAGCACCAGAAAAGTCACACTAGAAAAGAGCTTTCTAAGTGCAGTAGACACGGGAACACCTTCAGCCAAAATCCCAGCCTCATTCAGCACCAGAAAGGTCACACAAGAGAAAGGCCTTAGGGTTGTGAGTAATGTGGGAAAGCACTTAGCTGGGGCCTTCTCCTTGTTCACCACAAAAGGATTCGCTCATGAGAAAACTTCTGTGAGAGGTTTTGGAAGGAAGCCATCAGTTGAAATTTGAAATTTGCACATCCCAGCACTCCTCCTGGGGGAGATTACCTGTGAGTGCCAGATTTGTGGGACACTTTCAGGAGCTATGTTACACTCTAACCTGTCCAGGCCCTTTGTCAGATAATGCCACTGCCAGATGGCATCTCACCTCTACCAGCTGGTAGGCCTCTACAGAGTGCACCCATCATACTCAGGGACAGACCTCTGTGGTCTCTCTCTCATTCCCTGGAGGGAACTATGAGTGATGGGAGGCCATTGGGGTCACCTCATTTCCCATCTTTCCCCCGACCCGAATGGTTTAGGATTTTCCCTGACCTAGTTCTCTCCAGGAGGATCTGGAGTCTGTTGAGGACTTCCAAAGAAGATTTTTCCTTCTTCTTGGTCCTTGTTGAGTCTACTGGTGACACCTGTAATGGATTTATCCAGCCTCCAAATCATCCAACCCTGGAACCACCTACCTCCAGAGTGTGTGATAATAAAGGTCTTATTATTCAAGCCATCTTTTAATCTTGAGCTCCACATTGCGTGTGGGGAGAAACTGAAAAGAAAATTGGGCCCTAATGGTGCAAAGAGGGGGAAGGGCTTTTCTGGGGGGAGGTGCTGAGTTTGTGTAGCTCAGAGGGCACAGCAGGATGGCAAGGAACAGCTATCAGTCCAGTTTAACCTTAGTTGCCTTGTGGTCCAAGGCCTCCTGAGACAGACTGAAGGTCTCTGTGGTCCACATCATGTGTCTTACATGCCAGAATGCCCTGTTAGGCCTAGAGCTTTTGAGATTGAGTATTTGGTGTAGCAATCTATAGTACATCCTGGGACAGCAATGTTTGGGTCCTTCTAGTTAATGTCCCACATTCCCCAGCAGTCTTGAGGAGCCGCTGTTTCCTGGTACCTATCCAGGAATAAGACCCCTCAAGTCCAGATTAAGTGGGCAGTGGCCACATGGGGACCATAAGTGGATGCAGAAATGCCAGGTTTAAGGTCAGAAAGCAAGGAAGACTGTGACAAATGGGAGATATGCCTCATGGTGTCCCTGAGCCAGATCATACTAACAAGAGCTGGTTATGTTCAACTCAACATTCAGTCACACTACATGTGCAGCTTGAAATAAGCTATGGTAGGGGAATTCATACCACAAAAATTATGAAACAGCAGCTTTCGGAAGGAAAAAAATGTGATTTTGCGTGTTTGCCAAATTTGCTCTGATGGTGACCTCATCTACAGGGGAGACTCAGTTCTGTGGGTCTGGAGAAGTCCTGCACACCCCCATGTTACACAGCCATGTTCTCTATGCCCCACTAGAATGGGCACAACCAGCAATAAGCTGGTCACTGCCAGAGAAAATGATTTAGAGGTTTTGAGGAACCCTGTAGTGCCCCGAGGCTGTTCATTTTGAGGCCATACTGCATAGGCAGAAACCCCAGGACTATAAAAAGGGAGATCCTATCATCCAGGGATATGGCTTTTGTGGTTCAGCCCATGTTCCTGGCATGTGTGGGGCAGCCATGGCCTTCATCATCTGTTGATTTTTGCTGCCACTGAAGGAGGGCTGTCCCAGTGCA